TATAATTATCAGAATTCTGGGAGCACGACCCAAACCATTCAGATTAGAATCAATTTAAACAATTTCGTTTCCTAAATTATACCTACCTTAAGCTAGTTTTATCCGTTATGAACTTTCCAGACACTCTGACTAGTCTCAAATTAAAACATTTATTTCCTATCTTGGTCCAACCGGGACCTTCTCAGTTAGTGCTTAGAATCTTAACCATACAAGCTGAGATCAGATTTTGATTTTAGTAGCTTGTGAAAGAGTTCGTCCAGGGAAGTACTGCCAACTAACATATTTGTGTTAAGGTTTTGAATGGTAAGGGTGCGCGAGGGATTACAGGCACATGGGTTTTTCGACTTATGTCTCAGAGTGACGGGTGTTGTGCCCCTCAGATCTGTGCGATTTAGAGCCCTGAGCGACACTGCAACTGTTATGGACAGGCGTGTCGCTTACCATAAGGCGCATGACATGTTCGTCCTGCGGCTTAGTATCATAAAAAAAGATACAAAATATTTAATAGATTGATGTCCCAAAATAAGCTGTAGAATTCTAATAAACCATGGCACCGCAGACGTGTCGTAAGATAAATTCAAATTTAATGCAAATGGATACAATAAAAAGGGCATAAACACTATCCATTATCGTCTGGGCAAAGGGACTAGCGACCCCTGTGATTCTAAGCTTAGTGGAACACTGATCAAGGGGAAAATGTCTATACATCGTTACATTTTTACTATGATTACGTATTCGTCAATATGGTTATGGAAATGTTCTCAAGTAGGTACAGATGAGAAGAGGTGAATGGGTAAATATTCTGGTTACTTTTCTCTACTTAATTTCGGGGGCATTTTTTATTATTTTATTTGAATATTGTACAATATTCTCATGAAGTATTTAATATTTGAGTATGGTATTCTGAAATAGTGTAATATATCACGAAAATATACTTGTAAATAATAAGACTTGCCACCGAAATTAGGTAGAAAAATCTGAGCTGAAAATTACCCGATTGTACTTATGAAGAAACCTCAATGAATCTTTGTCTTGAAATTGTTCAGTTCTTGTGATTAATTTATTTGACAATTTATTGGCACGTATTTATATTAATAGTTTTGAGAGGTATTTTGAAAGAAACGACAATTAAAATTGATTTTAAGATTGTTCCATGTTTGTGTATAATTTATTTGATATTTTATTGGCACGGATTTATAGTTTTGAAAATGTTGAATAGAGGTGGGAGGAGAAGGAGGAGTATTTTTAAATAACTGCAATTGAAATTTATTTTGAAATTGTTCTATATTTGTCATTAAATTATGTGACAATAGAAGCTTCTTTATAGTTTTGAAAATGTTCTTGAGTAGAGGAGAGAAGTGGTAGGTAGATGTATTTTTAAAGAAACTCCAATTAAAATTAATTTGAGATTGTTTTATAATTACATGTCTTTAAATTATTTATCATTTTATAAGGGTTTCTTTAAGGTTTTAAAAATATTGTTGAATAGAGGACAGAAAATTTACATATATTTGTTAAGTAAATTCCATGCAAATTGACCATGAGATTGTTCCATGATTTGTTTGATATTTTATAAGGACGTTTTGAGCAGATATGGCCAGCGAAGATAATTAACAATATTTGCTTTTTTAAATTAGTTTATAATACCGGTTTATTTATAATTGTATTACGTATTTACAATATGGCTGTGAAATTGTCATTTATGCACTAATAAATATTACATATATGGCGTAATTCTTTCTTCATGTGAACGAAATTAACTGTTTATAGA